GTTGTTGTTGCGTACCGTTGAGTCCAAACTGACCCATAGCTGACCCTCCAGCAGATTTCAGAGACAGTTAATCACACAGTAGGAGATTGTCCCTCTTTCTCCTGCAGAGCAGATGTTGGATTTTAATTGCTTACCATCGCATTGTCAGAATAACTCTTTATTGCTGAACCCTCAACAGCCTTTCTGAGCCATCAACAGCCGCTCTTTTTACACTATACACAAAACAAAAGGGTCACGTTCACCTGATTTTGTAGAGAAGACATGTATAGTAGACTCCTTGCTCCTGGTACCATTTTGACCAAGACCTTTTGAATCCTAGGACCTCGGAAAACATTCCCAGGAAAGCCTACCATGCCCCATATCCCCCAGCACAACCCATCCAACCCTGACGTCTGCGAAACTACCACATCCTTTGACGCCGTGACCATGCTGGGAAAGGAGCTCCTTTTCTTCAAGGACCGGTAAGTGTAAAATGTGCCATCAATTCACCCCAGGTCCCACTCGAGATCCAGGCCAGCATCAGCCAGCAGATCCTTTCTGCTCTGCGGCAGAATCTGGTAAAAACTCTGTACTTCAGGCTGATGAGAGGTGCGGGGGGTGAGGGGAATGTGAAACTCCCAAATGATCATTTGTGAGGCACCTGCTCTGTGCAGGGCACGGTGATGTTTTCCATTTCCATTAGAGTCTTTCTTCCAATCCCTTTCACTGTAAAGATGAACTGTTGCTGCCAAGTTAATTCTGACTCATGGTGGCCTCTCACGTGCTGGAATAGAATGTTCCATAGGATCCTATCCCTGTTCAGGAGCAGATTATCAGGACTCTCTGTTGAGGTGCCACTAGGTAGGTTAGAACCATCAACCTTTTGATCAGCGCCACGCATTTAACCATTTGTCCATTGAGGAACTGATAGAGAAATTAGAATCTAGAATTTATTGGTTAAAAAGAAGATCAAGTGAATTTTCCAAAGTTACAATGCTTTGTAAGTGACGAGGTCAGCACAGCAGCCTAGATTTGTGTGGTGTCTGTTTTGTTCACCACTGCCCCCTGGTGACAGACTGTACCCATTACCCACGGCCAGCGAGTAGATTCCAGCTCATGGCAACCCTCCTCCGAATTTGCCAAAGCTATGGATCTGTACAGGAGGAGACAGGCCTCTTATCTGTCTCCTTTGGGGCAACTGGCAGATTCAAATCAGCTGCTTTCTGATTAGCAGTGCCATATATAGTACACTTCACCACCCGAGTTCCTTAGTGGCATTACATAGCAGATGCTGAATAAAAAATCATATTGAATGGAATTTGGATAGACAAATAGTTGGATGAATGGATGTTTAGAGGATCAGATGCATTTGCAGATAGGTAGATGATCACAAAATCAATACTCTTCCTAAACCCTTCTTTTTAAAAACTTCTTGGCACTTTACTGAGGAGAGGAATGAGTTCTTTTCTCCTGCATTTTATCAGATAGCTTAGTGTCTTTTCCCGCAGTGTGGTCATGGTAACTACTTCTTTCCATGGAAGTAAAGCAAAAAAAATACCATCATTCAGTCCCATTCCTCTCTCTACTACAGACAATTCAATCACACCCGAGTATAGAGGAGGCTCGGGGATATTCAAGCTAACACTACTTCTCTCTTCTTTCCTTTCATCTGAAAGGTGTTCATTGATACTAATACGTGTCGAGCACTCTCTCTCGCAGCAGACAGCTAAGGATATAAAGGTGGATCAGTATTCTTCCTGTCTTTGCACACCTCACACTCACATGAGAGAGAAGGCAGTGAGACACAGCTTTATAGCAAGGATAGGAAACGTGGAGATGTGAGACAAAGCCGCATGGGGTGCCTGCAAAAGTCCCCAGAGGCATCACTGAGGTAAGGTTTTTTTTTTAAAAAAAAAAAAAAACCAAACCCCAACATACTTTAAGCTATTATTATAATGCTTTTGTCTCATTCTAAAAATAGTTAATAACACAATTTTAAAAATAAAGTAGAATTACCCAGCATCCTATCATCCAGACTAACTATATTCTCAACTGTTTTGGTGCCTGTCTTCCCAGACTCAGTCTCTGGGCTGTTGTTCTTGTTGCTGCTGTTGTTGTTAGGTACCATTGAATCAGGTATCACCTCATAGCAACTGTCGGAGCAACAATGAACCTTGCCCTATCCTGTACCAACCTCACATCTCCATCTGCTCAAGTTCATCATGGCAATCACTATGGCAATCCATCCCATTGTGGATTTTTTTTTTTCAGGAGAGGGGAGGAGGAAATCCTCTACTTTCCCCAGCAAAATGTCTCTTCCCAAGGCCTAGTCCCCTCCTGATAATATATCCAAAGCAGTTGAGCTGGAGTTTCACCGTCCTTACCTCTAAAGAGCGCCCTGGTTACACTCCTCCAGGACAGATTTGCAGCTGCTTCTGGCTGTCCGTGAGGATACAGAACTCTTCTCTGGGTGAGGAGGCACGTATCAAATAAGTATGAAAGACGAGAGTGGCTCCAGAAAATTAGGATTACACTTCTTGCATTGACTCACTTTTTCACTCAATGATATGTCATTTTTCTATATTGATTAACTTTCACTTCCATCATTTTTTATGTATATAATTAAAATATATAACATTTTATATATAATTTATATATTTGTATACATGTGATATTCAAATCAACAGATATATCATTACTTATCTAACCAGTCTCAAACTTATATTGTTTCTGGAGAATTCAGGTGACCTAGTCTATAGAGAGTGACAGTACACTTCTCTAGGGATTCTAATCCTAAAGTATCAGCAGCCTCAGTATGTGCTATTTACAACATTGGAAATCTGCTGGAGGTTTGGTTCTGACTCCATAGCAATGAGTTAAATTGAGTTACTTGCATGGGTTAAATTTAGTTAGTTGTATGATATTGTCTTTTAGTTGTCTGAGATTGTCTTTCAGTTGCCTTTTATGTTTTGGTTTGGTTTGTTGTTTTTTTTTTTTTTTTAAATTAGAGACAATTCGAACAAAATCTTCAGGTATGAATGGGAGCTCACTATCACAGGCCATTTAGAAAAGAGCTCAGATGTCTGGGTGGCCCAGATTGAATGGATTTAGAGCTTGGGTTACTCTGGGTAAGAAATGTGACAGACATATAGGAAACTCTCAGCAGCAGCAGTGCCCAGTAAGCAAAGAGTTGTGCTGCTACCCTAAAAGAGGTATCTTTTGGACAGTTCAAATCCACCAGCTGCTCCTTGGTAGAAAGATGGGCAATCTCCTCCTCTGGAATTTACACTCCTGGGTCCTCCCCACCACCACCACCACCACCACTGGAGGATCAGCTGTGAATTGGTTCTGACTCCATGGCAATGAGTTGGAGTTTTTTGTTTTTAGGGAAGTTCCTTGGGTGGTGCAAACAGTAAATGCATGTGGCTGCTGGTTGGAAGTTTGAAATCACCAAGAGGGACCTTAGAAAGAAAGGCACAGTGATCAGCTTGGGAAAAAACTGCCATTGAAAACATGATGGGAGGAACACACATGCTAACGCACATGGGTTGCTATGAAGTGTTTAATTTGTTTTGTTTCTAGGAGTGGGAAACAAAAATATATAAATTGGCATGAAGATTTGAAACTAAAGTATTTTAATCAATTCTTTATTCACCAAAAAGTAAACTAAAATGAGAAGTATACACACGAAGGAGTGGTAGGCAAGGGCAGATCCTGAGCAGCCTAGAATATGATGTGAAGTGATGTTGGCTTTATTTGGGGAATAATGTACCAGGTTGCACAGCCCAGAAATAGGACAGTCACCCTTTCAGTGATACAACGTGGTGCTCACCGTGGTTCAGCATCTAGCTTACTTTTTTTGGTAGATATCAGTGGATATCACAGAGACGGAAGCAGTGAATTTCATGACATTGCACACTGGGAAGGAATTGTGCTGTCAACCCAAAGGTACATGGTTCTAATCCACCACCTGTTCCATAGGAGAAGAAAGGTCAGTCTCCTCCCCTGCGACTTATTGTCTTTGAAAACCTCCTGGAGGTTCAGCTATGTGTCGGTTACAACTTGATGGCACACGCTGACAACATGAGATGCTAAGGGAGCCCTTGTGGCTTAGTGACAAAAAGTTGTGCTGCCAGCCAAAGGCAGACCGTTCGAATCTACCAACTGCTCTGTGGGAGAACAATGGGAAATCTCATCAGATGCAATTTACTGCCTCTAAAAAGCCTCTGGAGGGTCAGTTATGAATCAGTTTCTACTCCATAGTTCACAACAACAACAGCTAGATGATAAAGAGACCCGAGAGTGTAGTACATAATTTGCCAGGCTACTCACGAAAAGGTCAACTGTTTGAATCAGTCAGTTCTGGGGAGAAAGATGAGATGGGAAGTCTACGCCTGGAAAAGTTTACAGCCTCAGAAACCTGGTGAAGGGTCGCTATGACTCGGCAGGAGTGACTTTACTTGATGATACATCTTTTAACAAAGTCTTAAATATAAATATGGGGGTTAATAACAGAATAGAAAGGGAGGTACAGATACTAGAGACATTTAGAAAGGAGTTGGAGGAAGCATGAGAAAAGGAGAGATGACTGACTAATAAGCATCTGCTTAGTCATCCCACCCCATCTTCTCTCATTTCTGTCCTGAAGAGCTATTGTGGTCAGGCGGGTAATTCCAAAGAAGGAGGAGGAGGATGGGGAGGGAGGTGTGGTTGCTTCTAGCACTACATTTGTCACTAATTTGCCAGAGGATCCTGAATCTCTTTGTCTCGCCTGTAAAACGAAAGTGTTGTCTGTTAAGAATAATCATTTAAAGATCTCTGGAGTGCTGACTTTTAAAGAAGTGTACCAAATATTCCATAGACTGCCAAAAAACAAAGAACTCTGTCTTAGAGGAAGTGCAACCAGGATGCTTCTTAGAGGCAAGAATAGTGAAACTTCATCTCACATACTTTGGGCATTTTGTCAGGAGAGGCCAGTTCTTGGAAAAAGACATCATACTGGGAAAGGTAGAGAGGGTCAATGAAAGAGAAGAAGACCCTCAACAAGATAGACTGACTCAGTTCAGTGGCTGCAGCAATGGGCTTGAGCAAGGTGGAGATTGTCAGGATGGCACAGGATAGGGCAAGGTTCAGATCTGCTATTTATAAGGCCTCAATGAGTTGCGGACAACTTGATGGCGCATAACATAATGTGATCAATACATAGTCATTAAATCCTTACAGCAGCTTTTTGAGAGATGAAGTCTTGTTCTCCCTTCACATGGTTCAGAGAGGATAAATAACTTATTCAAGAGCACATAGTTAGGGAGGGGTGGACACAGGATTCCAACCACCGCTACTGCATGGCCCCAACCCTACTCTTAACCTTCCTGCTGTCCTCCCTCTGCTGGTATCACCCAAAGCCAGAATTCTACAACTCTACTTTTGATCCTCTGCCAACTGCCAACCCCTAAGTCCTGTTAAGCCTGGACAAAGAACAAAG